TCTCACGACTAATTCCTTGCCCGTAATCAAGCATTCAAATTAAAGATTATTCAAGTTAGTACCCCTTATAGAAAGTTTTATTGCCATAGAGGTTTTAATCTGATTGAGAAGAACCCTTTTGAATTATGGTCCTTCTTTTAATCACTAAATATAGCGTGTCCTTATAAACAATTTGCACAAAATCTACAAAAATCTATTTAATTACAAAAAAATCTCATTAGACTATTCGCAGTAACCGAGTTTAAGTAAAGTTGTTAACCAAAAAGCGATGAAAAATGAACATAAACAACAATAAGGAAACATGCATGTAGGTAACATTATCATAGATTGAGGTGTTTATAAAAGGGCCCGCATTTGGGAAGGTTTAGAGTGATGTATGTATGAAAACGGAAATGATTTACAGAGATATAGTCATCGTAAACACAATTATCTACAATATTTGAAACAATGGAGTTCCTAGTATTATTAGAAGGGGTTAAACCATTGATGAATGTGATGGTTTCTCTTAACAATTTCTGCAAATTTTGCTAAAAAGAGAAAAGCGGTAATGTCGATCGAAATCGCTCACAATAGCGCTTTTTATGATAGTTGTCCTGTTTGTTATCCGTAGTTAGTACGGCATGATCACACTTAAGAGGTTATGGAAGCAAGTATTACTAAACTATACAAGGTAAGCATATGGTATACTTGCTTAACGACATATTATGTACCAGAGCGTTCAACTATTCTTCTATGTGGAGTGAGTAGCAAAGATGATGTGCGTCGTGAACATGTATTTTTCCATACACTGAGTGCCACACAAATTACACCTCCAGGGGTCTCCTTCCGTGTGCAAGCCTTTGTGAAGGAGATGCATTGTTTCGTCAAAAAAAGAAATCCCACAGTGAGCGCAGTCCTGAAAGTGCGTGTTGAAGAAAATTTCTGAAGTGATCGCACAACAAACATGTGATAAAGATAATTTGTATTTCCCGAGAAAACCCAACGCATCCGTGGGTAAAATATTTTGAAAAGTTCCAAGTGTTTCTTAACTATTTTTAAAATCAAACTCGCGAAGCCGTAGATAGAAATAAAATAATTTTGCGCATCAAGTGATTCCATAAGGATCTAATTTTTAAAAAAAAGGTGAATTCAGAAGAAGAAGAGGTTCAAGTAAGATGGTAGCGGATTTCTCTTCAAATAGTGTATCCGATAGGGTGCGAAATTCAGTGAGAGAAACCAATGAACAAAGTGAGTTTTGCGATGATCCTAATCTG